TACACAGAGTAGACAGGGATGGGCAACTTGGACACTGGCTATCCAAAGGGGTGGGGGTGGGGGGCTACAGAGGCAATAAGTAACTGGCTTACAAGCTTTCCAGAGGGAACCTAGATCCAGAGGGCATGGAGGAAGAGGAAGGTAGAACCTCCACTAAGTAGTATCCAAGCTGTCTAGGCGGGGCAGATGAAATGCGAACAGGTCTCTTGTGATACAATAGTGAATGATTGTTATCAGGACTGATTAAGAGGGTTGGAAATGTAAAGGTAGACGTTTTGTAGCAAGGAGGGGGAGTGATTAACTTTGTAATCTAGGAGTGGAGGTCCCTGAGACCATCAAGGGAAAAGAGCGGAATGCAAGACCCTACCCAGAGAAGCAGTGATCCCTGAGATGGAGGCAGAGACCATGACGTGGAGAGATGGAGCAGTTGGGGACTTTAGACACGGAGAGGGAGAGGGGCTGTGTGCTGATGACCAGGGGACAGGCTTGTAGGGTATACCCTTTGGTTGGCCGATGATGCTCGGAGGGGATTGTAACCATGGCAATGAAATGATATACGATAGGATGAAAGTAAAACTAATGTTCTCCCATGTAAACTACCATATAATTCACAATAAAACATTTTAAAAAAATAATAAAAGAAGTCATCTGTCTTCTCAAAGCAATGTATTACACCTCCCTACAAACATCAACTAAGGAGCTCTGGTAGCGTAGTGGTTACAAATTGGGCTGCCAACCTCAGGGTCAGCCACTCCACAGGAGAAAGATGAGGCGTTCTGCTCCCGTAAAGATTTACAGCCTTGGAAACCCTGTACAGGGTCACTATGAGTCGGAACCAACTCCACAACACACAACAACACAGACATCAACTTGAGTCTGACTTCAAGTGCCTAATGACCGGGCAGCATCCTTTCCCATCTCTCCCACTTGTTGGAACCACAGTGCGACGGGCTTTTGATCAGAAAGAACGCACACACTCCTCACAGGCATGAAGACCAAGATGAAGAAGGTCAAATCCTTTTCCCAAGCCACACAAGCGGCATGTGGAACGGCCAGGGCTAAAATGAAAGTCGGCCTAGCTCCGCAGTATAATCTAGAGAATCATGCAGACTCCCTCTAAGGACTATACGCTGGAGGCTTTCACTTCCTACATTAACTGAAGGGGGAGGGAACTACAGTAGTTATTCCAGAGTACAAGGGGCATCTCCATGGGTTACACATCATTCAACTCTCAGTTGTGTTGTTGAATGCTACCATTTCCAACTCATAGGGACCCTGTATAAGGTGCGGCGCTACAGGATCAGTACCGGACTGGGAACACAAGGTTGGAAGTTCAAACCCACCAGCTGCTTCTGGTGGTCCCTATGAGTCATAACCGACTCAGTGGCACTTAACAACAAATCTTTACAGGCACAGAAAGCCTCATTTTTCTCCCTCAGAGCAGTTGGTGGGCTTGAACCACTGACCTTAGTTCACAGTCCAGGGCTTAGCTTATGGAACACTGTCTTCAAATCACAGAGCAATCAGTAAAGAGGCATCATGAGTGGATATTTACTAAGGAGGAAACGATAGCTTAGGAGTCCTGCCACAGAGAGAGACACCAGCAGAACCAGAGCTTGAATCCAGGTCAGCTTTTTGAAACCAGACCCTATCTAAATGTCTACAATGTTTCCTATTTTTTCCTTTGCCCAAATCCTTGAAGTCAGGTATAGGCAAATGTTTTCTGCAAACGGTCAGTTAGCCAACACTTCAGACTCTGTGGGGCCTACGGTCTCTGTCCTAGCTACCGAACTGTACCAATGTCACAAGAGCAATCCGACAACACTGTGCAGGTGTGACCCTGTCCCAACACAACTGCATTTATGAGAAGGGCAGCGTGCTAGGTCAGCCTCATGGGCCTAACTGGCCAACCTCTGCTTACAGACAGTCTATCTCCACTACTCCTCACAGAACTCATTTTCAAGTCTCTGATTTTGCTCTAATATTCCATCTACTTTGAACACCTTCCTCACCCTCGTGTCCAGTTCCCCTCATTCTACTCATGCTTTAAGTTCCCATTTATCCTTCTGTTAAGAATGGACGGACCTGTCCACCTGCCACACAATGTACCAACTTGGTTAGGCCATGATTTTCAGTATTACGTAACTAGCGTCTAAGCTGTGACCAAATTCTCGGGTGCTATAAATCCTCACCTCTGTGATACTGACAGCAGCCTGCACGATGAAGAACTGGACTGCGAACCTCAAGGTCAGCGGTTCAAACCCACTAGCCATTCCCTGGACTCCCTATCTAGATTCACTATACTTCAAAACTGATTCAACAGCGCTTAGCAACAACAGTAGTAAAAGGCAAGATGCAATCGGCATGATTAGGTTATAGTTTAGGTTAATTAGACAAGCCAGTAAGAGATCAGAGGGACCCACTACTGCCAAGAGAGAAGAGCTAGGAGTCCAGGATTCCTGAACAGGGACGCTCCCAGGCACAAGGAAGACGGATCGCAAGGCCCATGGAGATCTCCAAGGAACACCCAGCCCACAGATGCTGAAAGGAGACGAGGGCCTTCCTCCAGAGTCAACGGACAGAGAAGGCCTTCCCCTGGAGCCAGCGTCTTGAATTGGGATTTGTGAGAAGGCATTTCTGTTTCTTAGAGCTAGCCACCTGTGGTATTTCTGTTACAGCAGCAAGAGAGAACACAGACTTTCTCCCAGGAGACAGCTCAGGCTGCTCTAGCCCAAGACGCAGTAACTCACTCAACAGGACCAACGGACGTTTCATGGTCTCTCTTTTCCACAGGGGAGCATGAAGCAGGAACACTAAAATGACTCACATCTCTGTATGTAGTCAGATTAGCGCATTACGACATGAGACATTCAATCATGATATTCGGTGAACTCAAAGTATACAGTCTTCAATTATTCAATCATTTTCATTTTACATGAGCCAAGTAAAACTGATGTCATCTTACCCATACAGTTTGAACATTTTTGTTCTGACAAAAGCAAAATAAGTAAAAAAAACCTAAAAAACAGAAGAAATCTTACTGGCATAGGAAGTAGCATCCATCTTCCCGACCTTCACAGGAGAACCCATATTCTTCATCTCAATCCCAACTTCATTCCAAATTGGCTCCAGTTTTTTACAGTGGCCACACCAGGGTGCATAAAACTTGTTAAAGACAAAACCAAACACAACCCTTAAAATGCGGTGCCACAGTGAACACCAATATTAATTCTTAATGCATGGCCTTGGTTAAATGATCTAATAATAATCTGTTTTCCACAAAATTTAAATCTAAGATTTTAAAGGAGTTCTAGAATAACAAAAGTTAAAATGCACACACACAAAGCTTAACTCCTTGTATGTACCTCAAAACATATATTACTCTAAATATGTTTTAAGTGCTGAAACTTTACTTTAAACAGAAATGACAATTTACAGTAAAAATCTTGCTTCCAAGCGAATGTGCCTATGTACTATATCAAATAGTCTCCGTACGTCTATCTAAACATCATACACGGGCCTCACAAGTGTTCATGAGAAACATTCTTCTGTTTCCACCAGAAACTCCAGCACAGCTGGCATCTGTGCTGACTTGCGGCCCAGCCATGGGGCAGAGGCACCGTCAGGATGATGATACAGCAGGCGACTTCTGCTCTCCTTCAGTCACTAGCTGCTCCTCATCTGTCTGCACAGGCATGGGTGAGATACGAAGACCTTCAAGGCTGGGCAGAGGCACCTATTAAATGGTGGTGTGTCCAGCTGCTCAGTGTCTTTCTGTGACACAGAACTGACTTACCATAGTCATGTGGGCATTTTCACACATGCACAAGAGGAAGGAGGAAGAGAGAATTAAACAGTGGGCGCCCGTGCCCCATCATCGAGCTTCAATAATCGTCAACCCTGCATTCTGGCTCCACGTCTTTTGTTGCCGCTCTTCAAGGGGCGTCACAAAGTTCGTGGCAAAATGGAACTAACTGATGAGCAGATGTTTCCATGAGCTTTCTGAAGCCTCCTCATTCTCTTTTGGCAAAGGCATTTTAAAGTGACTCCCAAACATCATTACGTTTAAATGGATTCCAAATGTGAAAGTACAAAAAAAGGGAGATTAAAATTCCATTTTATAAAGATGATAATGTGATACTGGCTGCTAAGTGGTATTAATATGCTAAGCCTCTTGGGGAATATGAAGAAACAAGCGTGAAATATCTGTAATATTAAGTCAGACATAACCCCAAAGTGGACCTCATCGTAAGGTAGGATTCCTGCTCCCCTACTAAAAACACCAACAGGTCCCTTGCCAGGACCCTTAAGGCTCAGCGGTTCATTTTAATACAGACCCAAAGAGTAAAAGCAGAGAAAATAGCGTCACACACATTAGCACACTGTGTGAAAAGGGCTTAGGTGAGCATACTTATAGAAAACGCACACACTTACATCTACAAGCCAAATGTCATCCTTTCGACTTTCTTTAAACCTAGAACAAAAGCCAGAGAAACAAATCTTAGGTGATGTCTGTACCCACTGCACAAGTGTCCGGTATGAAAGCCAACCCAGCCCCGTCCCCATCAAGTCGATTCTGGCTCACAGAGACCCTACAGGGCAGAGGAGAACTGCCCCATAGCATGTAACCTTGGACCAGCACTCCTGGTTTGGTGCTGTAGGATTGGCACTGGACTGCAAACAACAAGGTCAGTGGTTCAAACACACCAGATGCATCTTGCAAATGCTATGCAGGGTCGCTATGAGTCGAAACGGATTTGAAGGCATTTACAATCAACAACAAACTGTTATGAAAGCAGACAGCCACATCTTTCTCCTAAGGAGCAGGTGGTGGATAAAACTTCCAATCTTCGGAAGACAAATTTATGAGCTCAGAACAAATTCTTTTCAACCAATGTTTACATAAAATTTTTGTCAGTGATCTAAATTTTGTCCTTTTCATTAAGCCCTTCAAGATAACAGTAACAAGACCCAAAGGTATAGTAAAATCTGGAGGGAGGAATCCAAAAAAAGAGTGAGGTGGGACTCAGTGGAAACACAGGTCTGCACTGCACCCCTCGTCCCGCTAGTCCGTGTCACACACGTGCAGAAGTGACAAGTGCTGCTCTCCTCAGAAGAGAGGCCTGCTGCCCAGCTTTGCTCTTGGCTCCCATTTGGGAAGCAGGATTTCAAAAGGGTTCACCTCACTTCCAGATAAAGGTGGCCCACGGTGCCTAGTCTATGCAAGTACTATGATTCTGTGCCAAACACCTGCTTTCCTTCAGGGAGACTGGAATCTGAGTATGCACTAGTAGAGCGTGAGCCCAAAGACAACACGCTGAGCACCAAGTGTTACTGCGCTTCTGACAGATAACGTCACACGAGTTGCAGTGCCGTGAACTGACTCTTCTACCCACAATCTTGGTGGTGGTGGTGGTGATGGGTGTGTGCCATAGAGTTAGTTCTGACTCACAGCGGCCCTCTATAGGTTCTTCTGAGCCAATAAATCTTTACGGGAGCAGAGAGCCTCATCTTTCTCCCATGGAGCCAATGGTAGATTCAAACTGCTACCTAGTGGTCAGGAGTTCAACTCGTACCCACGTGACCCATCACACTACCAGGATCCCATATCGTCTTTGTAACTTCCATCAAACGTTTTCCCCTGATGCTACTGGAGAAAAACAGGTAAGAAAAGATGCTGATAGGACGCTATGACTCAGCGGTAACTTGGAGCTCTACCTTGGGTTTAGAATGAGCAGTCTCAAAAGCAGGAGGTAGGACTCTCACCACCAGCTAAGATGAAGAGCCACCCCAAGAACCCCTGCACTGAATCCTCCTCGACTAGACAGAGGGCTCTGGCACTGAGGTGTGGCAGAGAGGCAGCAGAACCAAACACCAGAGCACGAGACAGCTGGGGGCCTCCCAGTCCACGGAGCATGACAAGCTAAGAGATGAGGGGCAGGAGGCTGGCTCGCAGAGTGGGAGGCCTCCACGCACTTAGCTGGGGGAGCTAGGTTTGCTGACCCACGGAGCAAGAGCCAAGTGGCTTCCAGCTGAGACTTAGAGTGAAATGGTGTGCCCTGTGAGCATTGACGAGCAGGTCTAAAGGAGCTCTGCATCCCTGCCCAGGCCGAGAGGGAGGAGAAGCTGTCCAGACTGGAAGCACGGTGCCCCGAACTTTTCTGACCCTGAGTCGTAACCTGTTAGCTAGCTTTCCTCCTAAACCCCATCACCAGGAGGATGCCGAGTTCTGGGTGACCACTGCAATGACTTTCCTAGTGCAGCGGAGTGCAGTGCTGGGGGGAAGGATGGTTGGTACTATCGGGTTTTGGACCTGTTGTCACCCCATCTGCCGGGAATGGTGTACGTGCTATGAATGTGCTAGGAGGTGGCACAGGAGGAGACTGGGCTCGGGTCCCTCAGAATCTCACCTCATGTACGTTCTCCCTTTGCAGCCCTGCTGTGGCAGGATTAGCACTGGACCACAAGGTGGGTGCTGCAAACTCACCAGCCGCTCCTTGGAATCCCAGACAGGCTTGCTAGGAGTCAGAACCGGCTGGACTGCACTTAACAACACCTTCTCCCTTTGATGATTTTGCTTCGTGTCCTCACTGTAGTCATCACTCACAGCTGTGGCGTCTGCTAGATGGTCCTAACCCGAGGACGGTCTTGCCCCCCACCCCTCCCACCTGACTGGCAAAAAAGCTCCAAAAGCACCCTTCTGATTGTGTTCCTCTTGGAAGACATTTTCTATGGCCTTTGGAATCGACTTGGTTCATGGTCCCCCACAACCTATACCAAAGGCTCCTAAACTTATCTGGCTCCCCCTTTCTCTCCACCCCAGTATAACCCCACTGCCATTGAGTCCCTTCACACTCATAACAACCCTACACAGGGGTTTCCCAATCATCTCGACCCTATACAGGAGTTTCGAAACTAAATCTTTACAGGAGCAGACAGCCTCATCTTTCTCCTGTAGAACAGCTGGTGGGTTTGAACTGATGCCTTAGCAGCCCAGTGCTTACCCTAAAGGGCCATCAGGGCTCCTTAAACATAAGGGACCTATAATCGTCTGCTCCAAAGGAATTCTGCAAGGTTTTAAAAAGCAAATATGTCACTCTGATGACTAAGTGACTAGCCATCACCTCATATGCATGTGAAAGCTGGACAAAGGAAAGGAAGGCTTTAGAGGAAGTGATGTGCTCACACTGTGGCTCTGGGGGCAGGTGCTGACCATGCTGCAGCCTGCTGAGCACATCAGTCTTAGGAGAAACATAACCAGAAGCTTCCTCAGCAGGGGGATAATCAGTGCTAGGAAAGGCCATGTTTGGTAAAGCAGAGATCTGTAATTGAGGACAACCCTCAACAAGATGGACTCAAGCCTGCCAGTGATCACTGGATGACATAGGACCAGCAACGCCCCCTTGTTCCACGGGAGGGGTCTCGAGCTGGAGCTGACTCCACAGCAAAGTGTCCACCACAGGCCATCCAGACCGCACTCCCCATGGGGTGGCGAGACCGGGGAGAGTGCAAACACGCCAGCCCCTTTAGTGCCATGTTCCCCCCAGCCCCTCGTATATGAACATACCATGGGATGGAGGAAGACAGAAAACAGCTTATTTCCACAAGTCACACACAGTGCTGGGGTCCCTCAGTGGGCAGAGTCCTTGGGTGAAACTAAAAAAAAAAAAAATCTATGGGGAAATGGGGCGGAGCTTAGCTCTTGTGCCCCTCCTCCAGATTCTCAGCTGTCAGCACTGGACAGAAGCATGCTCGCATTTAGGGGAATTTCACTGCTGGGTCTCACAATCTAACTGCAATAGCCTCTTAGGTCCAGAGAGGTCCAAGTGAGAAAAATGCTCCTCTGTGGTTTTCCATGCTATAGCAAGTCAGGTTTCTCTCTTAGGGCCCGGCAGCGAGAGACAACTTCAGGGTCGCAGCAAATGCCTGGGACAAGGTTGTCGACCAGTTCAGCAGGGTGGCAGACAAAAGGGCTTCCCTGCGAGACAGAAGCCAGGTTAGGGGTCCTCATCTCCCCTGTCCCTGATCGGGGCTCTCCCCATCATGGGGTGGACCTTCTTGTGGCTGCATATTTCCTGTCAGATGTTGTTGTTGTGATTGTGCATGGTAAAGAGGAAGACCCCAGGAAGATGGATGGATACAATGACAGCAGCAATGAGCTCAAATGCAGCAAAGGTCAGGATGGTGCAGGGCCAGCCGCTGTTTCATCCTGTTGTGCACAGGGTGGCTGTGAAACTGAACTGACTTGATGGCACCTAACAAATGTCATAGAATCACAGCCATCCCACAGGCCGAGCAGGGAAAAGCGGCAGGCAGGGACACCCTCGGGAAACTGTAAACCAGCGATCTCCAATGGGTGGTCAGAATTGTCAAGGCCAGCTACTCTGTAGGAGAAAGACTGATTATCTCAGAAACTGTGTATTTGAGGGTGGCCATGAGTCAGAGTCCACTAGATGGCAGTGGGTTTGGTTTTTCTGATTTGGTTCCTAGCCAGACGCCCATGCTATGTAGTCGGGCAATGAGGAAGGCAACGAGCAGCCCATGCTATGCAGTCGGGCAATGAGGAAGGCAAGGAGCTGCCCACTCCTACTGTTAACAGCCACACTAACCCCCAGAGGGACAAGGGCCTAAGTTCCAGGCTCAGTCTAAGGTCTGACATTGGCTAGCTCGGGCCCAAAAGCAGTGCTGCCTGAGTTGACAAGCACAGTCAGCTGGCTGGGTACTGGGTTTACCTGCAACAGGGAAGGCTATTCCCACATGTAACAAAGAGCCTATGAAGAGCACAGCCGATTCTCAGCCACACATCTCGTCCACATGGGGGCTTCTTTCACCTGCCAGTAGCCCACCCACACAGCCAGGCCACTGGCCACAGTCCATGGTCAGTGGAAAGGCGCCGACACAGGGCCGCTGTGTTGGGTAGCCGGGGCTTACCAAGCTTCTGGGTATGAAAGGTAGCTCACAGGTTAACTGCAGTCACACCCTAATTCACCCAGACACAGGTTAACTGGGCGGAGTCAGCTGAGCCAGGCCCACGTGTAGCTGGGAAGTCTCCATAGCTGGAGTCCAGGTGTGGTGCAGTAGGCTAAGCACTGGGTTGCTGATTGGAATGTTGGTGGTTTCAAACCCACCAGCTGCTCCTCAGAAACCCTATATGGGTAGATACGAGTGGACTCAACCTAATGTCACTGAACAAAGGCCAGGAGGTTCTTGGGTATAAACCTGAGAAGGGGAAGGGCACTCGGGAGACGAGAGAGGATTCCAGAGCTGTCCCTACGAAGGAACGTGGGGTCTCTGGGACTTCTGGCTGTATGACTAGTTCACGACCACTGTGCACAGTAAGAGACCAACTGCAGGCACAAGTCCGTGGACCTTTCTGCCACAGCTTCCCATCTGAGGGGGGCTGACACCTGTCCTCTGGGTGGCCTGCTAGCCAGACACCACTTAAAGCTGACCCAGGAGACGGACATCAGTAGTGGAAATGGACCACGTATCACTGGGCCTCCTGGTCACTTTCCGGGTTGAGAAGGCCAACCACTGACCACCTTCCCTGCCTGGAACAAGACGTGTGACTCCTTCCTCACACCCAGAACCTCACCTGCGGACGAGGTCCTCATCCCATGTTGGTTAATGGCTCTGCCTGAGACCACCAGGATGGTATCACAGTGGCTGGCAGCTGCAGGATGTAGGTAGTTTTGTGGAAGAGCAAGAAAGCGACACACAACCCAGCCCATCGCTAACCCCTAACTGTCCCTGTAGAGAAGCCGTGCTAAAAACAGCCCCCAAATACTAAGTTCCTTCAGCCTTGGCAAGAGTCTCCGTGACCACGCACAGATGGGCCTCCCAAGTGCCTACAGTGGACGGTGAGCTTCCAGGTGGTGGACACTGAGCGGAGAGTCTCTGGAACATGTCAGTCTCCTGACCTCAGCAAGGAAGAGGCTGGGACTGTCTTGAGGAGACAACTGTACTAGGCACTGGTTTTGTGATTGCTGCCACTGACTCTTCCGACTCCTGGTGACCCATGTGTGCAGAGGGTTTCCAAAGCCGAGTCAGGTCTATCTCCCCAGGCACCTCTGGATGGGAGGGTCATTGTGGTGCTAGCTGAGCACTTAAACATTTGAGCTGCCATCTCCCACAAGCCTCACAAGAGGGCCCTGGTGCAGCCACAGCACCATGGTGGGGGGAGTGGGTGTGCACAGACAAAACTCAGCAGCTCCTGCCGAGCCTCACTGTCATCAAGGCCTCCCTGTGGAGGGGGGGTTTCCACGGCTCTAAACCTTCACGGGAGAAGACAGCCTCACCTTTCTCCCGTGGAGCGGCCGGTGGGTTGGAACTACCAACCTTGCAGCCCAAGGCTTACTCCCAACCAGGTCTCCTCCCCTTCAGTAGAGAACCACCACCATGAAACTTAACCGAGCCTTAGCTGGCTTAGGTAAGGGTACCACTGAAGTGGTCTCAGACTCCCAGCCCCAAAACATCACGTTTCCCTCTCATCTGGTGCCAGTGTGACAGACTCAAATGAACACAGGTACCCAAAAAGCCCAGCAATGCACTTCTCCCTCAACTTCCCTACTGATGTTGACCTTGGCCTCCGAGTACCCTGAGGACAAAGGAACCTCCACCTGCCCTCATCTCATTTATTTGAAGGCTGGGAGCCTGGGTATAGGTGGGCAGGACTCTCTAGGTTCAGGCAGCTGGAAGCCCAGATCCAGGTGGATAGGGCTCTCTGGCTTGATCCACTGCAAGGACAGCTGGGATAGCACCTGTATTAGGTCCAGGGGCTATCAGCGGACACATAGTAATGGGGCTGCTGGTCAGACCCCATGGTCTAGGACTTGGCCAATAGTTCCTTGGCAGGAAGCCATCAATCTCCTGAGTCTTTTCAGGAAGGGTCAGCCAGCTCTCTTCTGTTGGTCAGTCTTCACAACCTTGGCTGTAGCTGGTTTTCACATTCGGGAATTTGTCAACTAAGATTCAGATCGCATCACGGAAAACAGACCTGCCCATGTAAAGAGAATGAAATGGGCCAGGTATCCAGAGAGAACAGCATGGGAAAAGCTAGACTGCTGAGCCTGTTTGGTAATCTCATGAGTCACACCTCAGGGCGCTCCAGCCTAACACTGTCCAGTGGCAGAGAGACCTACCAGCACCCACTGAGGAAGGAGAGTCTAGGTGCTGCTGTGCTCTCACCTCAGGTGCATGCATCTGGAAAGGGGGGTCTGTGGCGGCACACCCTATAAGACACCAATCCTCACTAAGCCTGCTAAGATCACCTCCTTCAACAGGGAAGCCACCTAATCAAAGCGCTAAAGGCTCCTCGGGCCACTGGGCAAAGCTATCCCCAAAAGACCAGGTGTTGTTTTTTCCTAAAGGCCTGAGGTGCAAAGCCCTGTTTTGTGGAAGAACACACATGGGCTTAAAGCTCATGACAGTCATTGGATGCAACTTGGCATGTGGGTCTGTGACAGCCTTTCGTCCAACCCTCACCAAAGTCCAGGAGCACCATTCTCAGTTTCCTGAAATCTTCTGATGGATTTATCATTTGACTCACAAGGTGAACTTCAGGGTGTAAGCAGCTAAAAAGACAGATCAATGTGGGAGCCAACAAGGGTTTGTATCAAGGCCTACCAACATGAAGACGTGTTCCAAAGAACACACAGGGTTTCTGTATGTCTAGCATAGCCCTGCATGGGACCAGTCACTCTGTTCACCAAGCCAAATTTGTCATGCAATCAGGTGTCCAGGTGGTCAATCAGGACAATGAGCAAAACAGAAAACCTTTAGTAGTCACTTACTTGCTACCATGCAAGCAAAAGGCAAACAGAGGGCAGCTGCTCCCTTTGCTCCCACAGACCAGCACCCAGACGAGGGCCAGGTGGGGGTCTCGCAGATGAGAAACCCTCTCACTGCTGAGGAGCTGCCAGGAGGGTATGCCTGGGCTAGAAAGTAGGCCCGCATCGGAGTCCCTGACCACAAGCCCCTCTTGGCACTGCACTGCACAGGCTGAGGGCAGGCCAGCAGCTCCCGGAGGAGGCCTGTAGGTGCCCAGGATACGCCGGGAGCTGGACCACTCAGGTACTGCCAACAAAGGCCTACAGTCTACACAGTATGGCCCAAATCCCAGCGCTCCACTCACTTGTCATTAAACCAGAAAGACATTAAGTAACAAATAGAAGGTCTGGGCTAGAAAATGGTAAACAAGAACACAGCTGAAGATTTGTCATGGGTTTTGATCTTGTCAATTTCAGTGTAACTCTTGTGAATTATCCCTAGTTCATGCATAAACCACGAAAACAGAACTTAGAAGATCTCCTGGACTCAAACTGGCGCTATATAAACCATTGTTGTCTCTATTACTACTATTATTATTAAAATTAGAATTCACCTGTAAACATTCAGGTAACACCAGAAATAAAATTAAAATTTAAACGTGTATACTCACGAGTCATCTAAGTCTGGTATAACACTTTTACCGAAAGCCACATCAAGTAAGACAACTGAAAGACAGAAAGAAAAGACTAAATGTATACTTCTAATTTTTATCTTTGGCACATATTGTATGCTTAGTCACCTTTAAAACATACATATTGTGTGTGTGTGTTTAATTTTTTTAACAACAAAAAAATCCATCATTGATTCATCCCAAGGCGCTTGTAAAGCAAAACCACAGAGAATTCATTTTTAATAGGTATTTACTCTAATGCAATTTGAATGTGACAGATAAGGCCTATGTAGTGGAGCACATCAAAGCTAGAAGCGTCTTTTCCTCAGCAGCACTAGAAGGTCTTCCGTAAAACCTCCTTTTACAACCATCCAAAAGGCTGTTTTATTTTTACAGAAACGAAACCGCTCTAGCCATCTGGGCTTCTTGCAGAGCTGGGCCTGGGCTCGGCGGCTGCAGAGGTGGGTGAGCGAAGCGGGCAGGGCCACAGGGTCAGCACGCCGTTGTCGCCATCACTGCCTGGGCCAGCCGGCCAGCCTCTGTCCTTGACCCCCTAGTCCGCCTTTAGCCCACATCCCAGGGGCAGGTGTCACCTGTTTGTCAACTAGGAGCCAGGGATGCAGGGAGCTGGCCACAAACACAACAAAGCATCTTTGTGGGGAAGGCAGTGCATACTGGGGGAGTCAGCGCATTTGGGGGGGGGGGTAGCGCATCTTTGGGGGACAGGGCATATTCGGGGGATCTGGACATCTTTGGGGTGACAGCTTGTCTTTGGGGGAGTCACAGTCTTTGGGGTGACAACGCATCTTTGGATTCAGCTCATCTTTGGGGGACACGGCGCATCTATGGGGGGGCGACACCAGGTGTGCGCCACAACACCCGGGTGTCCGGCCGCCGGAAGATGGCGCGGCCTCTCCGGGGGCGCGGACGACCCGGTGGCCCCCGCAGGCCATCCACGGGCCCGGGGCGAGCCTGCCCCCCCGCCCCGCGCGCGGCCATACCTGTGGCGCAGAGGCGCAGGGCGGCCGCGCTGCTCGGGGTGGCCATGCTCGCCGCTGGAGCCGACTCGGCAAAGGCTGAGGGGCGCCGGCGCCAGCCGTTGCCTCCGGAAGGGGAAGCGGGCCCGCCGGGGCGAGGAGGGAAGCTCGGCGCGGACGACGGGGGCGGGGCTGCCGGGCCTCCGATAGCTCCCGGACCCGACCGGCTTCTGCCTTTACGCATGTGCGGATGACGGGGGCGGGGCAGCCCAGCCTCCTTTCCCTTTCGGACCTACCGGCCTCTGCCTCTGAGCATGCGCGGAAGGCGCTGGTGGGGCGCACCTACCTTCGTTTCATCCCTGATCTCTGAGTCCTCTACCTCTGAGCAAGCGCGGAGTGGGCCGCATGCGCGAGATAGTGAGCATGCGCAGTGGCCTTCCCGAGAAATGTTTGCGCCCTTGGTCACCTCTAGGACTGTGGGACCCTGGCAGCGGTAGACATAAAACTGAAATATCCGGTCTCAACTTAGTTTTTAACTTTTTACTGAAGCCCTGGTGTGGCGCTATGGGTTAATGCGCTGGACTGCAAGGTAGGTTTGAACCGTATGATCAGCGGTTCAAGCTCACCTGCTGCTCCTCGGGAACCCTATACAGGGTCGCTATGGGTCGGAACTGACTCCACGGCTCTCCACAACAACACTGGAGATGAAGTAGTCTCCGACGAGGCAATTTGAGGTTGGGTTTTTACCGATTTTTATCTGCTACACCTGTGCGTGACACCTGTGTGCTGAATGCCATGTGCATTGATCGGTGGCTCAAGCCCCAGCGTTAGAAGGCAGGATGAACCGCCCTGGACCAACTGTGCAACCTGCAGCCATTTCCAAAACGGGTGTAGGAAACTTCAAACCTCTGTCCAACACTGGACATATTTTAATTTTTAAATTTCTTCAATTGCTAATCAAAGGAGTCACTTACTAAGGAGAATTTATCCTGGAAACAGAAAAAGTTAAAATTTTGGGAGTCCTGGTGTGGCGCTATGGGTTAACACCCTGCGTAGTGGTGACGAATCGGCCTGCGAACCGCAAGATCAGCAGTTCGAAACTACCAGCTGCTCTGCGGGAGAAAGATGAGGCTTTCTGCTCCCGTAAAGATTTACAGCCTCGGAAACCCTGTTCAGGGTCGCTATGGGTCGGAACCGACTCGACAGCACTTAACAACAACTGCAAAAAACTGTTTGAATTGCAAGGTCGGCGGTTCAAGCTCACCAGCTGCTCCTCGGAAACCATACACTCGCTCGCTATGGGTCAGAACCGATTCGACGGCACTTAACAACAACATGTCATTTTAATCACTTTTTCTCTATATTACTTTTAAATTATATTTTACTGTGTTTTAGGGGAAAGTTTACAAAGTTAATTGTTGTTTTTAAGTGCCTTTGAGTCGGTTCCAACTCATAGTGACCCTGTATGTGTTTCCCAGGCACGGCTGGTGAGTTTGAACCACCGACTTTGCTGTCCAAACCGACCTTGCTGTCCAGCACATTAACCTGCAGCGCCATACTGCTTCCCACATACATACCCAAAGGACATATCCAAGTAAAGGAATTCACAAAAAAAGGGTGTAAGAAGGTTCAAACCAACCTTAGAATCCAACGCCACACCAGGACGCCTACAAAGCCAATTAGGTTCTCATTTAATAATTTTTGTACTAATGTTTCCATGACATTGGATACAATTTTCACAAAGTGTCAGCATTCTCATTATTGTCATTCCACTTACATGTCTGTGGCTCTACCTTCCCTGGCCTGCCTTGCCTTCTCATCTTTTGTTTGGATAAATGCTGACTGGTCTGTATAGTTGATTGGTGGTGGTGGTTGTGTTTGTGTGCTGTGGAGTTGGTTCCAACTCATAGCAACCTTGCGTGGGGTTTCCGTAAGCAGAAAGCCTCATCTTTCTCCCATGGAATGGCTAGTAGTTTTGAACCACTGACCTTTAGGTTAGCATCCCGACTCGTAACCACTACGCTACCACAGTTCCTCATATAGTTGATTAAGGGAGCACATTAGTAACAGGTCATATTCATTTAAAAAATCATTGTTCGGCTGAAAGCTGTCCTCTAGAAATAGCTTCAGATCCAAGTACACAGGGCATCTGAATGCAATAGTCAGCCCCAGGGTTTCTTTAGAGTCTTTGCTGTTCTGTAGGTCTGGAATTAGACTATTGTTTGACGTTTTTCTTAGATTCTATCCAGGGCCATCTATTGTGTTCAGAATAGTCCTTAATGGTAGCTGGGCACCATCTAGTTCTTCTGACCTCATGTTAAAGAAGCCATGGTTCATGGAGAAGAGTAGTCCTATGGATTCGTTTCTTCAAGCTTTAGTCTGCATCATTCTTATTTGCTTCACAGAAGTACAGATCAATAATTGTATGTTACTGACCCAAGGAACCTTTTAAGACCCAGAAGCTACTTCTGAAAAGCATGTAGAACATCTTTATGAACTATGTTCTGTCCATTGATTAATTTATCCACATGACTGATGTCCTAAGCCTTTAACCCAGTAAGTCAATTCTTTGAATTGTTTGCATAACTCTTCTTGTTGTTAAATGCCTTCGAGTCGTTTCCAACTCATAGGGACCCTGTATAGGGTTTCTGAGGAGCAGCTAGTGGTGAGCTTGAACCACTGATCTTAGTGCTCCAGACTGACCGTACAGTCTGGTGCCTTAACCTGCAGTACAGTGAAGGCTTTAATTGTGCATCCTATGTGCTTTGTTAGCTGTATGAATAAATATGCAATACACACAGGGTGTATATACACATGCCTATAGATACATGTTGTAGTGGTTAAGAACCACTGAGTTGGTTCCTACTCATAGAAACTTGATAGGGTTTCTGAAGAGCACCTGGTAGGTTTGAACCACCAACATTGTGGTTAGTCGTCCAGTGTTTTATTCTACAGCACCATTCCTATACAAATAATGTATACACATCTTAACTATGTATTCTTTCACCATACTTATTCAATCTCTATGCTGAGCAAATAATCTGAGGAGCTGAATTATATGAAGAAGGATGTGGCATCAAGAGGAGGAAGACTCATTAATAACCTTTGATATGCAGAAGACATAACCTTGATTTATGCAAGTGAAGAGGATTTAAAATACTTACTGATGAAGATCAAAGACCACAGCTTTTAGTATAAATTACACCTCAATGTAAAGAAAACAATAGCCCTCGCCACCAGACCAATAAATAACATCACGATAAATGAAGAAAATATTGAAGTTGTCAAAGGTTTAATTTGCTCGGATCAACCATCAACACTCACGGAAGCAACAGTCAAGAAATCAAACAGTATATTGTAGTAGGCAAATCTGCTGTACTTTATTAAAGTGTTCAAGAGCAAAAATGTCAGTTTGAGCCCTAAGGTGCATCTTACCCAAGCCATGGTATTTTCACTACCCTCATATGTATGTGAAACTTGGACAATGAGTAAGGAAGACCATAGAAGAATTGATGCATTTGAATTATGGTATGGGAGAAGATTATTAAAGGTATCATGGACTATCAGAAAAACGAACAAATCTTTGTTGGAAGAAGTACAGCCAGAATGCTCCTTAAAAGCAAAGATGGCCAGACTTTTGTCTCTCATACTTCAGATATTTTATCAAGAAGGACCAGTCTCTGGAGAAGGACATCATGCTTAATAATAAGTAAAGTGGAAGGACAGCAAAAAAGAAGACCCCGGATGAGATGGATCAGCACAGTGATCACAGCAGTGGGCTCAGATGTAACAATAATTGAGAGGTTAGCGCAGGACGGGGCAGTGTTTCGTTCCGTTGTGCATAAATTCACTAGGACTCAGAACTGGCTGATTGCACCTAACTGTGAAACCACACACATTTTTTTTGTCTGTTGTTTGGTGCTTTAGAGTTGGTCTACTCGTGTGGACCTCATGCACAGCAAAGCAAAGCACTGCATGACCCTGAATAACACTCACAATAGCTGCTGTGTTTGAGCCCATTGTAGCTGCCACTGATCTGACTCCCTAAAGGTCTTCCTCTTTGTCATTGACCCTTCACTTTACCAAGCATGCTATCCTCCAGGGACTGATCCCTCCTGACAACATGTCCAGAGAATGAAAAATGAAGTCTTACCTTCCACACTTCTACGAAGTATTCTGGCTTTACTTCTTCCAAGACACATTTGTTTGTTCCTCTGGCAGTCCATGGTACTTTCAACATTCTTCGCCAACACAATAATTCAAAAGCATTGACTGTTCTATGGTCTTCCTTAGTCATTGTCCAACTTTCACATGCATGTAATTGAAAATACTTGCATTGAAATTTCCATGAATTGGAGTAGATGCACATTAATCTTCAAACTGATATCTTTGTTCTTTAATGCGTGAAAGAGGTGTTGTGCAGCAGATTTGCCTAATGCAGTTGCTGTTAGATGCCTCAGAGTTGATTCCGAACCTATGTACAATAATAGGAGACACTGCCCAGTCCTGTACCAGCCTCACAATAGCTGCTATGTTTGAGTCCACTGTTGTTGCCACTGTACTGATCCATCTAGTTAGGGTCTCCCTCTTTTTCACTGACCCTCTAGTTTGCTAAGCATGCTGTTCCTCCCCAGGGACTGGTCCCTCCTAATAACATGTCTGAAGTATGAGAGACAAAGACTGGCCATCTTGGCTTCTAAGGAGCATTCTGGTTATAGTTCTTCCAATAAAGATTTGTTAGTTCTTCTGGCGGTCCATGGTACTTTTAATATTCTTCTCTAACACCATAACTCAAATGCATGAATTCTTCTACAGTTTTCCTTACTCATTTTCCAACTTTCACCTGCATCTGAGGTTATTGAAAATACCATGGTTTGGGTCAGACACTTTAGTCCTCAAACTGACAGTTTTGCTTTAGAACACTTTAAAGAGGTCTTGTGCAGCCGATTTGCCTACTACAATACATCATTGGATTTCTTGACTGCTGCTTCCATGAGTGTTGATAGTAGATCCAAGAACAATGAAGTCCTTGACAACTTCAAGATTCTCTTCATTTATCATGATGTTATTTATTTCTCCAGTGGTGAGGTTTTCTTTTTCTTTACACTGAGGTACAATACCTAACAAGGCTTCAGTCTTTGATCTTCATCAGTACACTTTTTAAATCCTCTTCGCTTTCAGCTTGTAAGTTGGTAATGAGTCTTTCTCTGTTCCTGATGCCACATTCCTTTTTCATATAATCCA